CATTCACTACTCCCCACTGTCAGGCAGGCATTTAGCAATCCTCAGGAAAGCAGGACTTCTTCCCATGCATCAGTGATTTGGGAAACACCATAACTGTGAATGTCCCCCTTTACTCCTTCTTCCCCCCAGCTTTTACTGATGATCCCTTTGGTCGGTTGGAGTCAGCTGTCCTAGTGATCCCCCTCCCATCTTCTCATGCACCCTCAGCCTGCTCATGGTGGAGCAGTGTGAGAACCAGAAAAGGCTTTGATGCTGTGTGAGCTCTCAGCAATAACTAAAACATGGGTTGTCAACACTGGTTTGGTCACAAATCCAAAACACAGCACCATAGGAGCTGCTATAAAGAATATTAACTTTATCCCAGCCAAAACCAAAAGCTAATGACCTGTGCGCTTCTCCATAATCACACGCTCCTGAATAATTAGGAAAAACAACAGTGACAGCTACAGGGGTGTACTGTAGAATGACACATACAGAGAGAAAGAATATGTAACAAAAGGAAGGAGGTAAGGAAGAGGTATTATAAGAAAATGAGATGGAAAGGCATGTAGAGCATGGAACTAGGACCACACACAGGACTTAACAGAGCAGCCAACCTTAGCAAACCGAGGGCATGTTATTCAGACACATAAAACCTTCAGCTCCAATGCAGTAGACTCATAAATGTTGTTGCAAGTGTTGCAATACATTAACTTTTAAAAGCCTCAGCCACATAGTTAGGAATAGTAAGTAGGACACCACAAAACATATCAACAACAAACATTAAATAAAACAGCATGCTGCTAATGATGTTACTTATCACAGAAAACATAATCTAATGAAATGAAATCAAACCATATGAATGATAAACTACAAGATGTTTCCACATCCGTATGAAAACACTATTAAAACCACAACAATAAAACGTCAAAACAGTATCTCAAGACCTCCAAGGTCTTTAATATTAACAATTTTTCTAAGAGTAAACAAGAGACTGAAAGGTAACTCACCTGATTGCCTGTTTCTGTCACTATTTCTTCTTGGGCAACCTCAGCCCGTTCCTTATTTCGGCAAACCAGATGAACTGTGCCACCTGGTGGATTGAGACAAGAAACACATTTGATAATTAATTACTAACTGCATTTGTGGGAGACATCAGCACTTTAATTGGGGGAGACTTTGGATATAAGAAGAGAGGTGGAAGATTTCTGCTTGGTTCTGGTCCCTACGAAGGCAGGCAAGGTGAAGAAAGTATCATGCTGTAATAGGGTCCTCACACAAGGCTGCACGTATGGAAAAGACCACTGCACTCCAAGTACTGTCTGCTCAAACCTTTTTCTGTCAGGTCTGTACATCATATTTAGTGGATGAAATACCGGAGCCATACTGGAGACTGAAGCTAAGGCATCTGTATTATAAATGTTTCTTTTGATACACGCCTTAGAAAGTTCAGTAAAGGGCTTGAACAACACAAGTGACTAGAACTGCTCTGTGAAAAGGAAATAAAAATGCCAGGTATAAGAATTCTTCTCAGCAGTGGAGATACGACAAGGACCATGGCCTCAAATTGCAGTTTAGGAGGCTCAGGTCATCTATTAAGGAAAATAATTTTCATCAGTTTTCTTCTAAAGAGATCAGGCTGTCCCAAGAGGATGCATAACTTGCATCCTTGCAGGTTTCAGGCAGTGAGACAAAGCAATGACTGGTTTGATGTAGCGTTGCCAACAGTTGCTTCAAGTGAGATGCTGAACAAGGTGACCTCTACAGGTCTCTTCCAACCAACTTTTCATTGAAAGGAACACCCAGGGCAAGGTTTTTCTCAGAGACCTGGATACTTGCCATGATCTCATCACTTAGCCACATTAAAGAAAGCCTTCAAAAAGAGGACTAAAGTAGGTATTTTTTTTATTTTTATGCCTTGTATTCTCTGATCATTACAAGTCATGCTTTACTCTCAGTCACAGGAATACCTGTACTCTTTACTTTTACCTATTTTTAAAGGCGTCTTAGGGACTGCTAACAGTTCACCACTAGAAAGCTCAAGGAATGTAATCCCAAAGGATGCATAATAGTAACAACAGTGCCAAGTCACTCTTCTAGTGCCCAGAACCCGAATGCAAAACACCAAGACTACCCTAGGGATAGTGCAGTCACACACTGCACAGCCCAGTCTGGGAGCTGATAATGAAATTTTCTGTTTACGAGAGGTTTTTCCCCTGAGCACCACAATAGCAAGTATCCTTGGCATGCAGCTGATGGGGCCAACAAGCCTCAAGGTTCTTCTGAAGTTTCCTAACAGCATCTGATTCCTCCACAGCACTTCCAGAGCTGTCTGGGTTACTTTTACCAAGTGCACAATCACAGGCAGCCATAGGAAACTCCTGATTCTGGGAAAACAATACAAATTACACTAACTGATGTTTAACACAGTTAATCTTCATTTTGTGTAACACAAACACCATCCCATGGAAGGGACCATGCACAGACAGGCACTGAATATGAACAGATCAGAATCAAAGACACAGGGAAAACAGATCTCATGAGTGAGAGAAAAGCCAATCAGAAGGGGCAGTCTCCAAGGCTCATTTCTTTGGCCATTCTCACAGGGACTGCAGAGTTCACTGCAAAGGAGGGCTCCAATTACACACCTTAAGGCAGTTAAGAATGTGCATTTGCAGATGTTTAAGAAGCTCTTCCCAAAACACAAAGGACAGCAAAACTAATGTGTGCAGGTACAAATTAAACACATGGAAGAAGCAGCTGGCCTTCAAGCTGATCAGGAACATTCTCAGAGTCTACAGTAGAAAAACATTCCACAAAAAGAGATGCACTTTTAAGGACTTTGAATATAAACTATTTTGTTGCCTTTGAGGACACAGGGGAAGTTTTGGTGTGACCTCTGGGTTAGGAAAGGAATTTGAATACATTTTCCACAGTAAAGATGAAATTATTTGAACTTAACACATGTGAATTGTCAGAGTAATTGGGAGAAGACTGTATCAAGCCGGAAGTGCAGTTCACAAGACACAGAGGAAAGCCCAAATCTGCATACCCATAAGACACCAATTCAGAGAAAAGCTGAACTCGGACTACAGAAATTGTCATCGAGATCATTATTAGTTAGAAAGGTCTGAGTGCTTGAAAGTAAAGCCAACACAGCTTGATTATTCTTTTGCTGAGTCTGAAATCCTTATTATCTTGTCATGGTGTACTTTAAGAGATTCAACTAGAAGCCAGGGCCGCAACACTGAGTTTCAAAGTGACATGTTTGAGAACAGGATCAGGAAGGCATTTTAACTTCATGTGAAACGGCAATGCCCATACAACGCATCAGACACACAGTCTGAGCCCAAGGTTGTTCTGCTAAACATGGTGACCAAATCCCATGCAGATCCAGCCAGCCTTCCAGCTTGCAAAACCTGGCAGGCATACCCATTTGTGAGCAAAAGAGTCACCAGACAAAGCAATACTTACATAAAGCTATTATCTATAATAGCAGTAGTGGCAACTTGATATCAATCACATGCTGGTACTGATGAAGATCGTTAACCCAAAGACTCTTTGATGCTAATAGTTCTGAATTAGTTTAATTTAACTGAGTCGCACTTTCCTTCACAAGATAGTTATGAAACCTAAGCACGCAAGAAGAGAGCAAAGACACACAAGCTCCTCCTTTTTCTTCTACATGCCAAAACTCCTATCACTCTTGCACAACAGGAATTATTTTGTCAACTCTGTAAGGGATTACATTTATCCTTTAACAGCAGTTAGGTCCAGTTCATACCATCTCCTTGCGTACAGAGAGCCAGATTAAAAAAATAATTGCGTGTAATCAGCCAAAAGGCCCAAACTCCAAGGTATTATCATTAAGATCAAGCACGACTACATTGCTTCATCTATACTCTCCCATCTCAGCTTTGCAAAGCCAATTGTTTTCTTTCATCATATGATAAATTCACAAGTTCTTCAAAATAGTTCAAATTCAGCCAGGCTGCTACTTGTACTGAATCAGCTTTAAAAAGACCATGATCCATCACCAACATCCTTAGATGCCATAATAACACAAACAGTTTTGGTAAACATGCACTTAAAAAACACTGTGCAGATCCTCTCCACTTATTTGGTTTCATTATGCCAGTTTTCACAGCACCAATTGTTCTTAAACCTGTAACCCACACTAAGAGCCCAGTAAAATGAGCCCTCATCCCATGCATTTGTGTGTCTTTATGCTGGAAGGCCAAACCTGCTTCCTTCCATGTTATCTGTATCAACTCCTCAGAGCTCCACGGCATTCCAGCTCACCTCTCCTCGCTATCTCCTTGGCTGTGGCCTTGCCAATGCCACTGTTTGCACCGGTGACCAGGAAGGATCTCCCAGCCACATCCACCTCTATGTCAGCTGGATTGAAGTGCTTGGAAGCAGATTCGTAGCCGCCCCTGAATAAAGCAAGACACACCCGTAAGAAACTAGAAGAGAGCCCTTCTGAAAAAAAAAAACATAGGGGAGAACTGAAAAGCACTTTTCCGTCACAGCTCAGCTGAATGCCCTCCCTTGCCCTGTTACTCTCTGTACTCGTGGGACAGGCCACAAACAGTGCCAGTGACACTGCAACCAGTGATGTACCACAGAATCATCAAGGTTGGAAAAGACCATTAAGACCATCGAGTCCAACCATCAATCCCAGCACCACCACCACGTTCACCTCCAACCCATGTCCTCAAGTGCCGTAGCCACATGATCTTTGAACACTTCCAGGGGCGGTGCCTCCAGCACTTCCCTGGACAGCCTGTGCCAGTGCTTTACAACCCCGTCCACGACAGCAGCTCCTCGTGGCGTTCGCCCGGCACAACCACCCAGCCCGGCCTTGGACAGCGGGGAAGGGGTCCGGCCGCAGCCCCGGGGCGGGGCGGGCCGTGCAGCTCTCACAGAGAGGGGCGGGAATCTGCTTGGCTTGGCGGGGTGGGGAGCGGTCGATTGAAAATACAAAATAAACTCGAGCTGGTTGAACTCCCGCGGGCGGGCAGGAACGCCCCGGCCCGGTCCGGGCGCTGCGCCCGCCCCACGCCGCGCTCCCCGCCCGCGGGGGCCGCCGCCCGTACCTCGTGTATTCCCGCAGCCCCTTCACGAACCACACGGTGTTGCGGTACCAGGACATGGCGCTGCTGCCTCCTGCACAGCGGTGCCGGTGCCGGCCCCGCCTCTGCCCTTACATAAGGTCAGCCCTGCCCGCGTTAGGTAAGGGCCGAGGGGCGGCACCGCCCGGCCGTCCCCGCCGCCACGGACCGGCAGCACTGATGGAGGGTGTGAGGGCGGGCAAGGAGTTTGTCAGTAGGGGGGAGCTGTGCCACGTTCCCCCTCAGCAGCAGTTTATGGGTTGTTTCTGCTTATCTCTTCTGTTTTTTCCTCTTCTTTAGCCATCAAGGACAGCCGCAGCGAGCCCCTGCCGCGCCGGAGATGACTGTGCCTGGTGACGGTGGTGGCAGAGGAAGGATGGAGAGTTTCCCAGGGCACCTGGTCGGGACAGATGCTGCTGCCAGCTAATCCAGGACTGCAAACGGGGTGTTGTGTTTTGGGAACGGGGAGCAGAGTTCCAGGATCTATGCCTGCACCCTCTGCCCTAGAAAGCTGTCAAAGGGATGCTCTCACAGAAACATAACCGTGTTGTGCTTCACCAAGGAGCGTTTTGCATAATAAATCCATTAAATATCCAGCTCCTACTAATGGAGCAAAGTATACCAGTAAGGAAAGGGTACACGTATGGCTGTTGCAGTAGGGGAAGTGAAAGTCAAAATGTGTTTTCAGTTCCTCTGGTATGTGCTTTGGAGCTATGAAGCCCAAGAGAATCACTTGGACTTGTACATCTGGACAGCCCATGTTAGCCATAAGGAAATTGTCATTATAGGTATAATTATGCTTTTAAGTACATGAAAGGACTACGCACTTAGAAAGTTCAGTGTGCAAGTTAGATAAATTCATGTATTTTACGTGATGTGGGGAGGTCATATGCAGAGAACCCTATCTGAGTTTTCAAGAGCTTAAGTTGCCTGGTTTCAATAGCAGAGATAGGGGATAAATGGGAATATTCTTTTTTGATCCTGTACGATAGTCTGATACTTTTTTTTCTAAATCTCTTCGCGCTGGCAAAGGCCTCATACTGAAGTCTTCCACTTTCTCAGCACATTGTGTGAGTATTAGGCTCATACAAAAGGCACTTCCCACTATCAAGTTACAGTTTTGAACTCGGTGAACTGCGCACTGTCCGCTTGTACTGTGTATTGCGTGTGAAGTAAGAGTTTTCAGAGGGCAAAGAGATACATTTTCACAGTGATGTTTTCTTCCATGCAGAGACCATCCAGCTACATGTACTTTTGCATGAAATGTAAAAATGCTTGTTCTTATTAAAACAGCTGAAAGACTCTATTAAAAAACCAATAGCCTGAGTCAGTTTTAACTGATTTTGTTCTTGGAAATGCCTGTGAGTTTGTGACTAAAGTATTCCTAAACAATTCATCCTGATTCTGTTGCTTGAAATGGAGACTTTGGGCGCAGAAAGGAACAGCTTGGCAGTAGTGTGAGTGGCAGAATGTTATTTCATATAGTGGAAATTGAGTGGCAGCCTAAACTATGGACATGTGCTGTGATGTCTGTGAGTATATGGAAATAGTTTTGTGATCATCACCGACAACATGCAATTGGCAACCAAAACTGTACAGCCTAAACTGCTATGATGATGTCTGATAATCACACTCGCTCTGAACAGAGCAGATGTTAGGCTTTGAAAGTCCTGCATGCAGGCTGAGGTAATGTCCCCCCTTCCTTCTTTCTGTCCCATGCCCAGGAAGCCCTTCAGCTTCTCCCTTTCCCTCACAGCCCAGAGAAGTCTGCATGGTTACTTTCCTCAAACCCTGGCTCAGCAGGGGAAATCCAGAGAATTATGTGGGCATGCCTGCTGTTATGAATATCCGGGCAGAAAACTGCAGTGCTGCTCCACATTTTCATACTAGTTAGAGACTGTCTTACCTTGGGCTTCATAACCCTCTCTGCATCTCAGTGTGCTGTTAGGAGAATAATAATGTTCCACAGCTGCTTATGCCACAGAATTAGCTGCATTCTTTACAGGAAATATGTTTTCATTTTGAAAAACATTAGCAAAGCCCAAACAAAACAATGGAAGCTCCTGTGAATAAATGCAATAAACCAGGTTGTGTTTTATTCCCTTGTCATTTCTGTGTTTCTGCATTTATTTCTTAAGTACTGAGACTGTGGCTAGTACAAGCAGAATGGGATGAAGACTCCGATGTGTTTTGTTTGTAGTCTCAGCCTATATTCTCATAAATTAAGGAGTGCATCCCTGCAGTCTGCTGATCTCTGAAAGTAAATGAAGTGTATGCAGATACAGCCAATTCCTTGCACGCTAAACCATTTGGACTGTGATCAGCAAGACGCTGGATGATGCAGCCCTGAGGTACTAACTAATGTGAGTATGCATGACAGAAGCTGTCCATGAGTCAAAAAATAGATTATGGCAGCCAGACAATGGGAGCAGCTCATAATATTTTGGGGTTAAGTAGTAATGGGCAATTACAGCATATTTCTTGTATTAACATTAGAGAAGATGTTTTAATGTAGAGTTGAGTACCGGAGTCATCCTGGTACACACAGAATTTTCTCAGAGAATATTCTATAAATACTGTAATGCTACCCATACCCTTCTAACAAATGCCATTTTAAGGAGATTTTGTAAATGCTCAGAAACTATGCCCTTGCCAGCATGCAACAATCCCTGAGCACATTCAACTTAGAGATTTCTGCTTAGAAACACTTGCTTTTTCTTTACTGAGGGCCTAAGCTTGCACCCAGAAAGGAACTGTCACAACACTATCTATCTGAACAGCTTCATAGAATCCATCATTAAGGTTGGAAAAGACCTCCAAGATTTTCCAGCTTTCACATCAGAAGGGACCTGTTGCACACTGTCCTAACACCTAGATGTGTCTGCTACCTCACTTCACCCCCTGTGGTGTTGTGCTTTTGTATTGTTGTTCCAGAGGCAGGAGACTGTACAGATTGTGTTAGTGCTCTCTCCTAACCCAGCTATCATGATGATGAGGCAATATGGGGTCATGTGCAGGAGAAAGGCAAGATGTACCTTTGCCAAGAGTTGGGTGGTGCTAATGGTGCTAATGAAGGGCCTGCATCACAGTATTCTCACAGGGAAATTTCTGCCCACATCAAAAGTTTGGCTGCATATGTTGCTTTTGGCACTTAGTTCTAGGTTGATGCATCTAGTTAGCTGAATTAGAATACATCTTGGAGCTTTGAAAAGTGAGGAAGTTACATCTTCTGGTTTCGAGTGCTACTAGCTTAGCAATAACTTCTGATAGGACGCTGCTCTGAACATGAAGGATTTTTTTAAACAAAGAATTTTTCTCATGGATTGGCAGACAACATCTCAGATAGCTGTCACAGCCAGCTACTGATATATATGTGTAATCTGGCTCTCCCACTAGAAGTGGGGGGATCAAGAAGGCCATGAGTCTCTGGAGCTCCTGACATTTCCCTCATTTGAGCAAAGAACAAAATGGCTTCACCCTGGATAATAAACACAATGCAGTGCTTAGCCTTGATAAAACATACTAAGTTAACTCCTTCCCTTAAGGACTGCAACACTTCAGGTATATCTGCACTATCAAATACTTCCCAGGTCCTGATCCTCTTATTGCCCATACTAGGCAAATTATTGTTGATGCCGAGGCTTGTCTAAAACAAGCTCAGATATCATCCGGATAATAGTTTGCTCAAGGGATAATTTGTTCCCAAGATCTATGGATGAGGCTGCACCAGGATTCACACTGCACAGCTTGGCACTGGTGATCCTGCATTCTGTTAGATGCATTTACCAGTGCAGAAACAGCCCCCAAGCCTGTTATGCAGGCCCTGCATGAATTCAGATAATCCTCAAAGCAAAAATTCTGGAGTATTGTGGCTGTGAGCTTCCAGATGTGAGGACTTTTCATGCAGTAATGAATTGAGAATCTCAGTATTTTCTTAAAACAAGAGCTGGTGAAAAATAGCTCTCTGGCATTCAGCTGGACTAATATGAAAAATACACTTTGGACTTGATTCATCTTTGTACCTGTCAAAGAGCAAGGAGTTTTAAGCAAAGTGTTAATTATCTTGAACACAAAAGAAAAGTTGAAAATGCCTGTTGCTTTCAAGGGCTGTGTGTTTCAGAATGTTTCATATTTTCTTCCCAGGGGACAGATCTAAAAGGTAGACAGAGTACTCGAGAGCTGAAAACCAATTATATATTATACAAGATGTTTAAAGCAGCTTCAAGGCCATTTAGCCAATCTCTTTTATTATCCTCCCTTTTTTTTTTTTTTGAGGGTTTTTGTTGGGAGGCTAAAATCTCAGTCTGAAGAACAACTGGCTCCTTTGCTTGCTTCATGCCAGAGATCTGGCAGGCTGTTGTGCATTCTCTCCTTTCCTTGCAGCTACTAATTTTCTAATTAAGTCTCTGTGCCTGCCCCCATTAAATCAATCAGAACTGATTCGGTCGCCACTCACTGCAGTGGGAACAGGCACAGGCTTTAAGACCCAGATTTGCAGAAAAGTTCAGCATCTAGAATTGGGGCCAGGTTTCCAAAGAAGTGGCAACTGTGTGCAAGCCACTGTTGCTGTGGGAGCCACTCCCAACCGCGCTTTTGCCATGCTGGCCTCAGCTCTGGAGGCAGAACACTTGAGAACTCCTGCTTTAGAAACTAGCACTGCCCCAGTCAGTGTACCAGCAATTAAGAGCAGTTGGCAATTTGTGGAGAGGCAGTCGACACTTATCCCTTTACTTGGATGAAGCAGAGTTTGGTGAGTGCTTGAAGAGGAACATTCATGCCCTGAGGTCCCAGGGGCATGTCTGACGTGCTTATGGTAGTAGCAGGGTGAGAGAAGCAAAAGCTGCTCGTCCCGAATGCAGGGAGGGGTTAAGTTCTGGCCTGTGTGGTGTTTTTGTGTACAGTAGGGTGCTTGCTTTGTTATGTATCCCAGTCATCACCAAGATTGCCAGCTGCTGTCATCAAGTGTTGTTTCCAGTAAAGAGCTGGGCTTTCCCCAGACCAAATAGCCTTTTGTTACGGAGAAACAAATGTGGCAGTATGTCATCAGCTTAATCACTCCTTTTAGCTCAGGGGCCAGTAAAAGGAATCTCATACTGTGTCTTATCAGAAGTCTAGATTTGCTTAATGCCCTGGCCTCTGAGAGCCTGTAGGGCTTCCCAGGGTCAGATATGTCCTGGCAAGGAGAAGGGCTGCTGAGTGTCCTCCCAAAGTGAAAAAGAGTTGGCTGGGAAAAACAGCTAAACCTGCTGCCAACCTAATTAATCTCCAGTGTATCAAATTGTTTATGCGTGCTTAAGTATGTAATTTTTCTAAAAATAATACGAGCTCTCTAGTTGATATGCATCCTAGAAAATAATTTTTTAGTCAGTAAAATATAATTTTATTATTCCCATGACTGAAAAATTCTTTGTCGTTACAGTAAGCAACATACTTGAATGCATGTGTTTGTTGCTAGGGTGTGAAAGTGATTTTCTTCAGCTACCTGTTTTTTTCCTTACTACTCCTCTACTAGAACTTACTGCTCTTACTACCAGCTGTTGGACAGGAATGTTCATGGGCTTATTGACTCAGGTGACTTCTGCTACACTCCATTCTTTTATTTCTTATTCTTCTGCAAATCTTGCTTCTTATTAGCATTGATTATTCTATAGCAACTGTTACCAAGTTGCAGATGTTATCTAATAGTATGTATCCTCCGAGAGGTACTGAAAAGCAGGGTAACAATCACACCTCGGCTGACATGGTTGTTTTATGTTGTGCTCAAATACAAAAGGAATAGACTGAAGTTTTGTGTCTCCAAGCAGTCCACATACTGTTATAACAGAACCCGCAATGATGTGTGAAACTTACCCATGCAAAGCTGTGGAGCTAAGCCCTCACATGTAAAAAAGCACCACACTTGTTTAGTAAAAGTCTTATTTCACCTGTTGTACAGGACAATTTTTTTTTTTTTTTAAGTCCAGTAAAAATACTGAAGCAACTCGTTTTCTGATATATTCTGATAAATTATATTGATGAACTAGTATTGTAAAATCCATGCAGAAGTAGAATAGTGATACAAAAAGCAAAAGTAAGCAATGATAATAAAAAGGTGTTTTCTACAACAACTTGTGAATAAGTGTGCATAGTGGTTTTTTTTCCTCCACTGTTTGCACCCTGTGTATTCATTTTATATTGGTACTGAAAGGTTTGTTTGGGTTTTTTTCCAAAGGACTGAGAATCAAATCCACAAGAATCGTAGAATGCCTGGGTTGGAAAGGACCTTAGAGATTATATAGTTCCAACCCCCTTGTTGTGGACAGGGTCACCTTTCATTAGACCAGGTTGCTCAGAGCTCCATCCAACTTGTCCTTAAACACTTCCAGGGATGGGGCATCCACAACTTGTCTGGGCAACCTGTTCCGTGCCTCACCACCCTCACAGTAAAGAATTTCTTCCTAATAGCTAATCTAAACCTACTCTCTTTCAGTGTAAGTCCATTCCCCCTTGTCCTGTCACTTGTCCTGTCTTGTAAAAAGTCCCTCTTCATCTTTCTTGTACTCCCTTCAATATGCAGTTACCTAACTCATCTGGACATCAAGAGGACCTTGTTAAAAGAAAACTTTCATGTGTGTTGGCCTACAGGCCCACAGTTTGCATCTCAGAGGCCCTCTCACATTTGAGCTGCTGTACTGCAGGATGTGGAAAGGTATCACAGGTTCTTCCTTTGCTTGAGTGCTAATAATTGTACAGAAGAGTCACTATGGCTTAGATTCAAATCTGTGGGCAAAATCAGTCTCTGATATAACTATTCATCTAAGTGAAATTGCAGCAGGGTTGATTATAATTGGCATGACTGGTAAATGTAAAGTACCTTAATTTTTAGACTGCAGTCACATAGGCTCATGCACTTACACTTATTTTTATTCAAATAAGACATTTGGTAGAAATTCAGTATTACAAACACATATACATGATTTCTGAGTTTCATACAATTTGTTCAGAAACCTTGCAATATGACATTGTTCTTTTTAGCAGTTTCCTTCTACTTTGTTTTCTTGTACTATGCAATATTAGATGGCACTTGTCAGCCTTTTTTATTTTCCCTCAATATTGTAC